TGCCTCAAATGATCCACACTTAAAATCATTACTTTCTAAGGCTTTTTCCACTACGATAAAATGCTGGATTTACATTCTTTTGAAATTCAGTTGAGGACTCGTGTTGAGTCAGGTTTCACGCTTTTATTTTATGAAAGGGGGTTAGCATTGCTTTTAACCTGGGTTTATGAAGCCTTGCTCCACTATAAATACTCTATAAATGCGCTTTGTACAGTCACAGAATCTAATATGAGGTGCACATCAACAGTAAACAGTTATTTTTTACAGATGGACAAGCAGCAGTTATACGTTTAGAGTATTTCCATAGAGTACATACCGTTAACATGAAAAGATTAAATAAAAAAGTCAACATGAAATAAAAATGTATATATTTGCTACTTAACTCTATCATTTACTCACCCTCATTTCAAATCTTTCTTTCCTCCATGGAGCATAAAAGATGTTCATGCTTTTGTTTTATATAACATGCAGGTGAATTTGCCTGTCAAGCTCTAAAGAGGAAAAAAGTAGTCCATATGACTTTTATATTCTGTCTTCTGAAGTCATATAAAAAGCTTTATGCATTGAAGATGTGATTTACTGAAAATCGTCACCTCCATCATTAAACATTCCCGCATATCCAATTGACAATGCAATCGGTGCATCACTTCTTGTGCCAAACAAAGACAGAAAGTCAAGTTTTGAACAACATGATGACAGGATTTGTATTTTTCTGTGAACAAACCATTGAATTGTTGTTTGTACTTAAAGTGCAACAGGATTTCTATTGGTCTCCAAGTGAGTCTGTTTGCACATGTTGGTATATTTAAATGTGACAGCATGTTGATATCTGTCTCTGTTTGTATTGCATGGTCGTTCAAGAAAAAAAACAGAGATTCCCTCCGCTGTCCACAGAGCTGTGTTATCTCCTGAGCACTGCCCCACTTCTGCATGCTGTAAATACCCTCGCAAATACAAGAAAATGCCCTAATGTAGGCCATAGTGTCTTCTGGAAGCCTTCTCTTCCGCCAGTCATGTCTGAACCGGGGCAGAGTCGGCTGAGTGACTTTAGCTCTGCTGTTCTAGTTGTGAGTTCTGATATTCACCGTCATACATTTACTGACCTGAAGTCGATAAGTTCATTTTCTTTCCAAGCTTTATGTTACCCAGAGGAGCTACTTCACTAGCGTACCAAAACTAATTGAAAAGAAGAAAACCTGTTGCTGTTCTGTAATATACTTGGATGCGATAATCCATATACAGCCTGACTGGTCAAAGTTTCACATTTTGAGCCAATCACGAGAATGCATGCTTAAGAGTCGACAAAAGGGGAGGTAAAAAAAACGAGTTCCTGTGGAGTCGCTTTAACCCGCGGACTAAAAACAACAACTTACAGCAACAGAGTGAAAGTAGCCCAATTCCGTGGGCTCTAAACTGGTTCAAGGATTGAAAACAAAAAACAGATATGAACAATTTTTTAATGTTTCATTGTTCTGAATCTGAACAGAAACTCTCATTTGAAATTACCATTAACAGTTAATAACGTTATTTTATCGTTTTGTTTAATATTTTAATTTGGCAGTCTACCAATCCTGAATTTAGATACAATCTATGCAAATGTGATGTTGGCGCATTGTGAGTGAAATGCCAGCGCTATCGTCTGTACGCTGTTAAAGTTGTAAAGCCTCGTTCATGTAGCCTAAATGTTTTTTATTGCAATGTTTTATGTTGAAATGTTTTCATTATTTATTCAATTACATTTCAGTAGCCTAATTTCAGTATTGTGATTATGAATTATTTTAACTACGTTTCACTTGTTGAATTCTTCTGCTACCAGCTTTCAATCGCTCTGAATCAGCGCGGTGCGGCAGCAGATTACGCATTAGAGAGAATAAACCGGAATAAACGAACACTTTTCAGAGTCTATGATTGTAGCGCCTCTTAGCGGTAAAAGGCAGCAAATACACCACACATTTTACCGCCGCGGTGGAACAGCTGATGTGGGCGTTGTCATGGCTTGCCTCGACATTTGCGTTTGAATAGCGCGCGTCGTCCGTGGGCGTGTCAGATTAACGCGTAATGAAGTGTAATGAGCTGGGGGAAAAAATACTGACAGCACTCTCTTTTCATACAGATTGCATAAACTGAGAATATTTGTTTTTTATATAAATTACTTCATTTAAAAGAAGAGAATTCAAGCTTCATAAAGAAAAACCTCTCGTGCCTGTGTGACAAGTAATCGCGGAGTTACAGTTAATCTTAGGACGCGTTTCAGAATGGACTTCACTGACAGAGAGAACGCAAAACTCGCATCATGTTTGTTTTTCTTTATTTGGTGAAAAGCACCTTAAGTCATGTTAGGCAATGCGCTGGCATAAGCTTTTGGATCTTAAGAGTTTGTCCGAGGATATGTCACCAACCGTTAAAATACATTTAAGTGAAACTGAATGGCAGGTAATAAACGCTGTACTTAGAACCACTTCTTTATTTGCCCTTGCACTGCAAACAAGCAGAGACGGACTTCAAAATGTGTGCAGCACTTCATTCACGATTGAGGCGGGGTGAGCTACTGTGTGAGCTTTTGCCGACAGTTTGAGTATCCACTTGAGTTACAAACTTTATTCAAGCTCTTGTATAAAGTATAGGCAATATATATAGGCCTATATATATATATAGTAAAAGAAAATACTTTATCAAAACTCTTTTACAGAAGGAACACATGAACAGAAATTTTACCTATGATTTTGCTCTGAGTGAACAGATTTTTTTTTTTTTTTTTTTTTTTTTTTTTTAAGCCCTGGTGCTTGAAACCTTCGGTCTTCAGCTGATAAAGTTTAAATCCAGTCTGGCTAGCGCACTTCCCATAATGTCACTGATTAGTTCAGTAGACGGACAGTAGACGGTATTGTGTGTCTGTTTGAACACACTCGACCACACGAGCGTTTACACTACGAAAGCAATCCGGTCGAATGCGTTTTCGACAACCTGGAAAGTCTTTCGAAAGTGGAAAAGCTCAAAAAGTTTTAGACTCCGTTTACTCCTGTATCTAGCGTCGTTCACTTGTAATCCAATCGACCTAAACGCATCTAAATACAGGTGTAAACAGCCAATGAGACTCTCCTGGACTAATCAAACAATCATAGTCTTCTGATTGTATGGGTATTGTAGGGTTATAATTATGATTTTTGGATAAGAAATGTTAATTCATTCAGCAAATGTTGATTCGGGAATATGACTGTAAAAATAGCAAACAACCCACAGACCACATAGCCTGGGTGACCTGCTCCATCAAGACATTTAAAAACATAATGTCAGTAGCTTCTGCGGTAGCACTTTACAATCATATCAGGAGAGAACCCCTGATATGATTGTAAAGTGCTTTGGGTGTACAGTAGTACATATGAAAGCGCTATATAAATGCCTCATTCATTCATTCATTCATTCATTCATAGCCTGATGCAATCCGACTTTACAACTACAGCAGCAAATGCCAATGCTTTGAAATAAAATGCATTTTAGATCATTTTTGAAGAATGGGAAAATTACATGTTTCTGCATCATGACATGTCATTTCACTTCAGTTAGTTCTGGGAACAAAAACAAAACAAAAGAAATGTTACAAAATAAAAATAAAAACACTATGCATGTTATTTTTTCCACATATGAAACAAATAGCTTATAAAACAGCAGCTTATATAAGATATAAATAAACCACAAAGATCAAGCCAGTAAGTGCCAAAAAGAACACAGAGCCACTATCTGAGATCTGAGTGCACGGTTGGTCCATCATTAGTATGCCACAGACATGAATTTTTAAAGGATTTCAGCCCATTGCTTTTTATCTTTGAAATTGAATTTTTGCCTCAAGAATGAAATTGGTGGCGCTTTCCTTTCAGAAACTAACCCCATCAGTGAGTAACCCTACCTCATAACAGACACGTGATATCAAAAAGTCCTAATATGCTTTTATGATGCCATCATACCATAATTATGTTCATTTGTTATTCAATTCATAAAAATAAACTTTCAGTTGTGTTTAAGCAGTGTCTGACGTTTTTTCATAGTTCATAGCCCGTGAACAGCTGATGGCTGATAATGAGGCTAAGGATTTTGTTTTGATTAATTTTGCAATAACGTGACAGATTTACACATGCATACTAAGCATATCGCCAATTATGCTGTTAAAATGATGTTACAGATAATAATAAATGTTAGCAAATGTAACTTTATGGCTTGTTCAGTTTAGTTCATTCATATTAACTATTCCAAAATAGTTCTTAAACATGTCTTGATGTCACTGTGTGCAATACATTTAAAATTGTAAAATTAAAATGTACTTGATCCTTTTTTTGTTGGGACAGCATTAACTCATTTGTTAACCATGACTACAAGTACAGAAATCCATAAGGGAAATCCATATTCACACACACACACACACAAAGGTTGTTCCTTTTTCTTTCGTGAAAAGGCTTACTTTAATATAGTTGACAGACAATTGTTTTCTTCATTTAATTAAGTTTATGGAACATTTGTATTTTATGTGAGTAGAGCAATAAAACTGAGATGATGTCTCTCAAAGTAGCGTCTCTCAGAATGGCAAACACTCTGAAAGATCGAATTTGCTTTCACACATCCTACTTAAGACTTTTCAAAGTAAAAGTGGTTGGCACATTCTTTATAGTCTAAATAAACCTGGAAAGTCGTTCAGCAAGACGACAAGCTAAAAGGCAAACGGTCATATCCCTCAGTGATGAAATTGATGAGTGGACAGATGGGAGGGCAGTTTAAAAAGCATCACCGCTATTATTGCTGGAACGTATAAATGACAGTCAACACAGGATTATGGACAAAAGCAGAGGGTTGGAACATTTTCCTGCTGTTTATGTCTCACTCATTTCTTCTTTCTACCAGCCAGGAAAAAATAAGATAATTTACCCATTTGACATTGCCAACAAAATATGCTTTGGCATTCACAGTTTTTCTTCTTACCACGTTATTCCTTGACTCACTCGCGTACTCACCCGTCTCGCTCTGCCTCCTTCTTCTCCAGATCCTGAATGACGTCCAGTAAAACCTTGATGGTGTTCTGGCTGGTTTCCAACACCCCTTCCAGGCTGTGCAGCTGAGACTGCAGAGCCCCAATGTCGTACAGAGGGCCGTTTGGGCCAAACAGTTTCTCTTTTGCCTTTGCCAGGTCTAGCTTACACATAGCCCCCGACATGAGCCCCCCCAGTAGCTCCTGCACCTGCCGCAGAGTGTCCGCTTGGCCTTCTGCTGGTCCAAGAGGGGCCTGGGGATTCGTCCCCGCAGCAGGAGGCAATTGATTTGCACTGGACTGAGATTCTGGGCCGAGGATCGCCCGTCGGCTGCTTAAACGGGTGGGCCTCACTGTAGCTCTTGCCTTAGTTTTGGGAGGGACAGGAGGTGGGGTTTCACCTGCCTGATGGTGAGTTCCTGCTTCAACAATTGGCTTCGCTACCCCAGTTTTCACTCGGCCCTTTTCTGTGTTGTTGCTCTCAGCTTTGGGGACAGGAGGCTTGCGGGGCTGTCCTGGAGTCGAGGTGCCCTCTTTGCGGGGGGTGTATGGAGGAGGAGGAGGAGGAGGTGGGGGAGGAAGCATGAACTCTCTCCTGTCTCGTCTGTCCTGAGTGTAGCAGAAGGCCTGAGGGGGGGAGTGACTCACCCCAGTGTTAGAGTACAGCAGAGCAGTCTGTGGAGGACAGGCGTAAGGAGGTAAGGAATGCCTGAAATTAGCAGAGGGAAGCACAGTTTCTTGGGGTTTACTAGCATACATCATTGCCTCACGTGGACAGAGAATGGGTGACATATTTTGTGGGAATGATTTGGAGTGTGGTACTGTTTGATTTTGAGTCTTAAACTGTTGCACGATTTGAGAGGGATTACTGCAAGACACTGCATTTTGCATACTAGAGTTGCAGTGTGGCAATATTCGAACTGAAAATTTACCTGGTGCCGGTTGTGTGGAAGGGCTGCAAATCAGAACTGGTATGGAAGGAGTCACATGGGTTGCCGCATTTTGTTGATCCAAAATGCAATGTACTGCAGTTTGTGCAATAGGTATGGTGGGTGCTGAAATGGGGCCTTTGAGGTGTGAGACAGGGTGTGAAGCGGTGGCACAGGTTGGCTCGGGGGGAAATGACATCAAATTGTGAGGGAGGGTTTGTGTAGGAATCTTATGAGATGCTGCAGGTCGTGTAGGAGAGCCCACTGTTGCTGGTTTGTCTTTGACACAGTATGGTATAGACTGCACTGGAATTTTACAAGATGATGTGGGGTGAACAGGTGTTGGGGTGTGTGTAGCTGATATAGGAGATTGTACTGTTTGTACAGGAAGGGTAGGGGTCCTAATCAATGGCTCATTCTGATTAGAAATCTCACAGCGTGGCACAGACTGAATAGGAGTTACAGGTTGAGTTGGAGATATCACAGAGTACACAGGTTGATTTGAGGTGTTACCGCATGCCATGGGTTGTGTTGGAGTCTTCTGGCAAGGCTGTGTGGATGTGAACGTAGAGGCAACTGCAGGTGCTCCTTGAGAACAGGATGTTGTCTTGAAGCCAGCATTGCTGGAACATGGAATGGTTTCCTCCAGCTTTTGGCAACAGGGTCTGGATTGAGCAGGAGTTGTGGGATCTGTATATGAATCTGAAATGCATTTGGAATCAGATATTGGGGGAGTCTTACAATTTGCCGTAGTCTGAATAGCAGGTGTGCAACAACGCCCTGTAGATTCAGTAGGAGACATGCATGATTGCCTGTGTGTGGTGTCAGTGGACATGACTTGTGCTGTGGTAGTGCACAAAGGCTCCAGTACAGTGGGGGTCAAAATTATGTTCTCTGTTGCAGCCTGTGGTGGGCAACATTGTGATGTTTCTTTGGGACATGTGGTTGGTGGAGGAGATGGTGCAGTGTGAGATGGACAAGATGCAGGATCTACCTCTGCTGTTTGCAAAGAGGTTGTGTTGGCTGGGATAGTTTGGATTTTTGAATCACTGCTAGCTTCAGTCTGTGTGGAAGAGACACTACATTGCGTATTATGAACTGTATTGGGTGTGGGGGAACGCTGTGGAGGCACGATATCTGACGAAGTTCTGTGTGCCACAGCTTTGGATGTGGGTTTCTTAGGTTGGTTAGAATGTTGATGGCTTCTGTGCACAGTTTTAGTTGGAGAAGTACAAGGAAGCTCATGTTTCCCAGGATCACTTGCTGCTCTGTTTAAGGATTTCCTCCTCCCTCTCCTTCTAGACTGTTTTTGTGGCGCAGGTTGTGTTGTTGTACCCACAGAGGCAGTTTGATTGTCCTCGGTTTTCTGGCACCTTGATTGCTCAGCGGGGGTACGATGTTGGACAGGACTTTTCCGTGATCTACAAGGTGGAATGTAGACCTGTGCGGTCAACTCATCTGAGGAGTCTTCGTCATCCCAGCCTCCCCCCAAGCTGTGACTGCGAGTCTGTGTGGCCGAGAGCGAGGGAGGCTTATGCAAACTGGGTGAGGTTTGGATGGCTGTACTCCTGCATGGCTGAGTTGGCAGCGGCAGTGTGAGCGAACATGGATGCGTTGGGACCCAGCAGCGTCTGGTAGGCCCAGGGGTAAGTGGGTGCGGTGGTGCTCTCTTCAGAAATGCTGTTACAGCACCAATTGTCTTTTCCATGTCTCCACGGACCGCTCCCACCAGCGAGGGCCCATTTGTTAACTCTTTCTGCCAGTTTGGAACCTCTGTTGGACTCTTTATCCTCACCTTTTCATTTTTATCCTTAGACTCATCATCATCCTCCAAATCTTTAAAGCGTACCTGCTGCGTGCGGTTTCGCCTGCGTTTAAGTCTGCTTTCAATATCTGGAGAGTTTCGGTTGAGGAGCACTGAGCGCACAGTCACGGTTGTTGGTGTTTTGTCTGGGTTGCCATTGCTGTGGCTGTGAACAGTTGGCAAATGGTTAGGCTCTTTGCTCACCATGTTATCCAAGAGTAGCTTATGGACCATAGATGTAAATTTTGACTGTGTAGGGTTTTTGTCTGCTTTCACAAGTCAAATGTGAATAAACAATCAATTAGATAAAAAATTCAGTTGTAGCACACAGTATATTTGACATTTGGCAAACTCTGAACATGGTAAATGCTGCAGTAACAAAAAAATAAAAAATTAAATAAAATAGACCAGCCGATGGCAGCAGAGCATGTGACTGGTCCTTTCCTCAGGTCACATGACTGAGGGTTTCTGTTTAAGTCTTTGTGGTAATGCTGTCAGAGTAGGTCCTGGTTTTGGCACGAAGAGTATTTATAAGCAAGTGTCTTTATATGCAAAAGAGGGACTGGTTGTATCCTGAGCTTTAGCCCCATTAGTCCACAGGGGCACTTAAACACTCAATGAGCAACCTTTGTGAAACTCTCTTTGTGTAAGTCCTGAAGAGCATGAAACTTTGGCAGGGAAGGCTTGCGAGTATGTCACAGAAGTCTGCATCATGGTTTCATAGCCAAGAGGAAAATCCCATGTCACATAGCTCTCACGGATGCTTGTCCTAAAAACATCAAGGCAAATAAAATGTTTTTAGGAAACAGTTTTCAGGCTGACCAGTGAGAGGATATCCAGACACCTTTAATGCCCTACTTTCCAACTCAAAGCTTGTGTGCACAGTCCTCACTGGTGTAGCATTTCTTGACAGGCCAGGACTGGGCAATGCATCTCTTTAAGTTGACTTTATCTCTCACATTTGTCCTTGAGTTTATTTGCTTGTGTCGTTCACTTCATTGTTTTCTTTTGACAGGAACAGAACTGGAACATCTAAGCAAGGTAAAAACACAGAAAAAGGACAGTTAATTCAGTAATGTCCCAAAATCGAGGTTTGTATTTCTGAATCGTGTTTTACTTTGTCAAACACATACACACACAATAAGTTTGTTCTAGCGTAAAACCGTACCTGAGGACATACAGAAGTACCTAGATTCCTCAAGTATAAAACTGCCTCAACAAAGCAAATATTTCACAAGTTCCCTTCAATAATCAAGTCTTTGATCTCCTTTCATTCTCTGGTGAGGCAGTCTACGAAATAGTTTAGGTCAAATAGTCAAATGTATGACAACAGTAGATATTGAGAGTACTTTTAGCTTGTCTGCGGCTTTGGGGCTGGTGTTTAACTCAGTGGTGTCTCAGAGGGGGCAGACTAAGAGATATTCAGGGGTAGAAACTGACAACGCTAATTAACTTGGCTTGTCTTTAAGCAACCCCCCTGGCACATGGAGGCACAAGCATGACAGCTGATCGCCTCAGGGAATTCTGAACACACTCTATCACACTGTCACTGTTACCAGGCACTGCATTCTGTCAGTGATCAGACAATCACAGTCCGCTGAGTCATGAAAGGATGTTAAATGTCTGTGTACGTGTCTTGTGGTACACGTATTTGCATCAGATGGGGAATCAGTCAGATTGAATCATAGCACAGAACATCTTACTCAACAAAACTACTAGCATGTCACAGCCCTCCTCTATGATTTCTTGTACATGTCCTTCATCAAAACAGTCATATAGCTTCAAGTGCTAATTAGCCTATGGACATATTTTGAAAGAAATAGCTTCTTTCTGATTACAGGATCATTCTTGTTATGCAGTACATTTTCATGTCACTGTAATATACTTAAGTATCAAAATATTAAACGTTTAAACAAATTTTAAAGATGGAATTAGTTTTCTTTATTTACATCCGTTTGTTTTCTTGTCATTGTGTAAGATATAATCAATGATACAAATAAGAAAGGCTGATAACCCCTAAATATGTTTCCTGACATTACAACACAAGCATACTAATTTTTAACGTTTAAGAGGTCAATTTAATGAAAAAAAAAAAAAAAAGACTAATTCCAATATTTTAAACACTGTCACTGTCACTTGACCTTTATATCATTATCATAATAAAGATAATTCTGCAAATATGAAAGAGAAAAAAAAATGTTTTTACTTAAATTTAGCAGGTCAATCAAATATTGTGTCAAAAAAGAGAAAAAAATTATTTGGGTTCATTCATCACACTGAATTTAGGGTCAAGTTGAGCACAATGCATTTTGGGATACAGTGTGCTCTGTTGAATACTGAATATTTTGTCAAAAGTAGTTGGTCATTCAAGTATTCATGCACAGAAAATCTGTTTATGCACAGTATATACTACTTACTGCAGAGACAGTAAAATCAATATGTTAGTATGCTATTCTGAACATAGACAAAACCTAATTAACAAAATACAGAAGCAGTGCAAAAACTCAATAACCATTTGCATGCCAAAACACACATTCAATGTTCAAGTCGAGCCAAATTTACTTCTATAGCACTTTTCACAATACGCAATGTTTCAAAGTAGCTTTGCAGACAATCATGATTGTTAACGTTTATTATATCTTAATATCTTCATGCCTTATGGTGTGTCCTTCATACTTACTTTCAAATAATGCCAAAAGGCCCTTGAGCACAGAGGTTCACAGGAAAAAGCATAAAGCACAAACTACCACCTTACACCTTTAGTTTTATGTAGGTAATCAAGCCATCATTGATTGCCTCTCACTCAGCTAAACTACGGGTTCCTCTTGAAATCTCTTACTGCAGCTCTTCAGGTTCAACTACCACTGGAGCTTCAGCCAAAGGCTAAACATGCTCCATTATTAACCTGTTATCTCCATGTAGCCCAAAGATCAATCTGGCTTGGTACAGCTTAGCAATTGTAAAGTAATATAGCTGGATAATTAGGGGCTTGTACAGAACAGACAGAACAGAATAAATGAACAACAGCTGCAGTGTCAAATTAGGTGAATGCATCACCTTTGTTAAATTGAATGCTTTAAAATGTGTAATTAATCTTAAAATTAACATCTGCAGCCCAAATTTCAAAAAGTTTTACTGATTGTAAAAGAAGACTATAGCTATAGCTCCCTTTGCAGCAATGCTGAGAATGCAACACATTTTGAAATGCAATGATGCATGAAATCAAGCTTGGGTAGCTAAAAGCATCTGCCTTCACATACTTGCTTAAAAGGGTCATGATTTGAGATATGAAAGTGTCCTTGATCTTTTGACAGTTTCAGAACTTAAAGCTGCAGTCGGCAAGTCTGGCACATTGAGAGGACTTAGGCAAAATTTTGAATGTTTACAACTCTCATGCCCCTCCCCCACTATCAACGGATACCCTCCCACGAGTTCGTGCTCGTCAGTGCGTGTGCACCAGGCAGTGTTGCCAGATTGGGCGGGTTCCCGCCCAATTGGGCGGTTTTGAATTTGATTGTGCGGGTAAAAAAGGGTTTGGGCGGGTGGTCAAAATTTGGGCTGGTTTGGGATCATTTCGGCGGTTTTCAAACATCTAGATTTTAAATTCTAATTGGTTAAAAAAAACGAAACTAAAGTGCATGTAGTCCATAAAATCAGTCATCATGACATTACTGTACACACGCTCATGCAGAGTCAGCTGGCTTTAGTGTTGACATCACCGACGAGCACGCACTTTTAGCCAATCAGCGATCCGCAGGCAGACGCGATTGAGCGCGAGAAGTTGTAGCTGTATATTCAAGTGATAGCTAAGGCAAAGTGACATAGCCTACTATACAAAAGAGTGTACAGTAGTGAGCAACTCTAAAAAACTCACACGTGGAAGGAGATCTCTATGGTGAATATAACTCTGAGAGGAGAGCACAGTTGAATGACTTGAATTGAAATCAAATATGGGATGATTCCTGTCCATGTCATATGTTCACACTAGCCTAACCAAACATCTGCAACTTTACACCATCCAGACTGCACTCTACTTGTCCCTGACAGCTGCTGAAAAAGGTTTGAATCAACAATGAATCCGTTTTGACTGCTAAATTCTGCGTTATGTTCTGCAATGTGTACTTCCGAGGGTTAAAGTCATCGGTTCATTTCTTGATTGCCGTTTTGACAGTGTCCACCTGGACATTTTAGTCATATTGGCTAATTCTCCTTAATTATTGCCCTGTTTTGATCTGTTTTGATCTGTAAAGCTGTTTTGCTTTAATTTATTTATTTTTTATTTTATTTTAACATCGTTATTTTGTTTTAAGGAGATACAAATTGTGCTTATCAACCTTAAATGACATGGTAATGAAATTATATCACATTATTTTGGCAGTAAAATTGTGGGCGTTTTTTTCTTGTAGTAGGCGGGTTTTGGTGAGCTTTTGGGCTGGAAATCACCGTCCCAATCTGGCAACACTGGCACCAGGTTATCTGTGAACGCGCCCGTCTCATCAGCATCCATCAACACCATGGAGTATGTGGAGGTATGCTGCCCTGGCTAATCTACCGATAGATTGCAATTGCTAACGTCATTTATACTCTAAATGAGCTTACTTGATTTGTTAGTGTTTTGAAAGCGAGATACATCCGCCATCACTCTTCGTTACTGCGCGAACTTCAGGCGTGTGCATGTGATTGTAATGTGCGTGAGGGGTGGTGTGTGCCCGATCTGTGATTGACAGTCAGATCTCACACCCCCCTGCGCTGATTGGACATGATGATCCGGGCGCTGTGGATTTTTGCAAAACAAATAACACGCTCCAGGTGGAGCTCCACGATCGGGTTTTTTTCTAAAACCACTTTATTTATGTTGTTCTGTCGGATTATAGTGTCGATTTCACTGAATATGATCAAAAAAAATTTGCCGACGGCAGTTTTAAGACTTCATCGTTAGTCCAAAAACAGCTTTTATTGAAACCAAGCTCTGAAAACGACTCATTTCGGATTTTGTCACATTATGACCTAATAGTGCGGCGAAATACCACCTCTGCAGAACCAGATCAACGCCTACTTCTACATCATCACGTCTTTTGAGAGAAACAGGATCACTGGACTAAAAATAACATTACCTTCAAAGGATCCTAATGCCATTGTCAAAAATAAACAAAATACTTTTGAAGATGTCTGGAGACTTAAGGCATAATGTAAATGTTGGTAACTTGCTACAACAAGAACAAGCTCTTAGGGTAGCATCATGGTCTTCTAAATAGACATGTGAAACACTCCTTACCTGATTTAGGTGTCTTTAGGTGTTTTTTATTTTTATACATTTTATTTATTTATCATTATTATTATTATTATTATTATTTTATTTATTGTATTTTCCTTTGGGGGGGGGGGGGGGGGGAGAAGGTTTACTGGGTTTTGCATGATTGTTATTCATTATGTAGCTAATTTGATGTGATATGTAAACTGAAAAATAAATATATTGTTCCAAAAAAAAAGGATCCTAATGCTTGGAAAATGGCTATATTTTTTCAACTATGTGAATGTCTCATTGGAGCAGTGTTTGTTTGTTCGGTACATTTCACCGTGGATTATTTGGTAAATCAGCAATTTCATCCATATCTTACACACTTTTACTGTAAGATATGGACCCAACATGTAAGTAACAGTGTTTCTTCTAATGCCTTATCTGTGATCAGTGATTTTTGATATGTAATGCTTCATTTACAGTCAGACGTTCTTTGTTTCAAAATCATTTATTGTTGTTTAAGTGTCAGTAAATCAAGCCAGTGACTAAATGGTCAACTTCACATGCGCTCCACAGATATGTCTGTCATCATGCGACAGGAGTAGATCTTAATATAATGCTGTAATCAACACTTTTCAGCAGCTAGTAAAAACGTAGTAAAAGTTTTTGAGAGTTCCAAATGTAATACTTATTTCATATGCAAATTTGTTAGCCAATCATAGCAGAGGATATCTCACAGCAGAAACGCCCCTTCCAACAGAGGGATTTAAAGGGTAGGAAAAAAATGGCCTTT